CGGAGCCAAACAACAAACCCCGTGTCCTTCACATACCCGCACTCCTATATGTTCAGCACCGTCAACAGGCAGTTCGGGAACCCCATTTCCGCCAACAACAGAGCGAATTTCTCACTGCATGTTTCACCATCGTAATAAACATCCACTTTCGCCTTCGTTGCTTTCGTCACCAGTGACATCTCTTCCCCTCCTTCCCTGTGAGATGCTTTACGTGTTAATATATACAAGCTGGAAGCCTGAACCTTCTGGTTTTCTGAACAATAGTGGTTTCCGTGGCCCTGGGGAATTGAAGTGGACATGACAAGTTGGACACCTGTTTTAGTTTGTTCTGGAGGAATACAGAATACGTATGGCGAGGAGATGGAGGAAATAATAGGATGGGAAGAGAGGAGGGAAATCAAACAACTACTATTGCAATATTCACTTCTCGAAGAAGGGAGAGATACTCCTGTTTTCCATCCTCTTGGAGAGATTTAATGGGATTGGTTTTATATATTTATTTTTTAAAATTTTTTAAAAAAAATAAATATATAAATATATTTTATATCATTTTTTAATTAATAAAATTTTAAAAAAATTATCTAATTAAATAAAAATATTATCTTTCCTTCTCCTCTACTTTTATCTTTTTAAACAAAATTAATATCAATTATTTCTTTCTCTTCACTTTTCCTTCTTTCCCTTCCCTTTTCTTCCGCTTCCGCTCCCTTCCCTTCCCTTTACTACTTTTTATTTGAACAAACGCTTAGGTTTTGGAAATTTATTTGAAAATATTCTACATCCAATTGCATTTGGAATCAAAACAGCGGCACTGGAAACTAGTAAAGAACAGAGAAAGACGAAATTAACAAAGCAGTACTTGGAAACACTGATGAATAGAAAGGGTATTTAGCAAAAGAGAGGAACAAATATATTAATAAATAGATATCAAACGAAATACAAATGTCGTTTCAGAAAAACAAGAGCAAAATGTATATGGTAATTAAAGAGACAACCTAATTTTTTCTTCCCTTATTTCGTTTAGAAGAAACTACCACCCAACCATCATCTGCAGCTTCAACATTCTGCTTTTGTTTTTGGTTCATCAGTTGACGTATCAACTGCATTTGAAATTGACCGGGACTTCGGCAAATCTACCATCATGTTTGTTGTATTGTCCTCACCCATGCCGTTACTATCATCATCATCATACTCATCCTCATCCTCATCATTAAACTAGAATAAGGAACATAAAATAAGAAACATAAATTTAAGCCAAAGAAAATCATTTGAAACTATAAACTTTTGCCCACTGCAAGTTTTAATAGACTGTTAGCTTCTGCATTACATTTTGGGAATAAAAACAAAGAAAAGTCATGATCTTTTGTGTTGCAGTGCCTCGGTATACTATGTAATAATTAAAATCCACAAGCTCCCAGAAATGGATTTACTGTTTAATCAATATCAAAATTGCAAGTAGTGAAAACACAGCCAAAAGTCCAAACGCATAAAAGGATAAACCAGTAGAGATTGTCTTCATCAACAGGTAGTCAACACAACTCTCTAAGCAGAGTTTAAACCAAAAATTACCTGTCTGACGTGAGTAACTGGTGGACGATTGGCGGCCCTCATTTTTTCAATAGACTGATAATTACCTTCCAAACATTCTTCATGCATAATCATCAACTTTTCTGCTACCTACAGAGGGTTTTAGAAAATCTATTATCCT